CTGGGTCCACTGGGGCTCGAACTCTGAACCTTCTTGCTGTGAGGCGACAACACTAAACTGGTGAAACGTCACATTGTCCAATGTAACATTGGATATGATTTCATTCTGATTATGGGGTGATACACTATTGTCCCTCTGCATGCTCTCACACAGTAAATGAAACTTCCCCCGGAGGAGCTGGAGGAAGTGTCTGGAGAGAGGGAGGTCTGGGCATCTTTGCTTAGACTGCTGCCCCCGCGACCCGGCCCCGGATAAGCAGAAGAAAATGGATGGATGGATGGATGGATGGGTTTTCTCAGCGGATGTGTCGCTAAGTGGGGAAAATCAATTTGAAATTGAACAGGCAGATGGGGCACAATGGGCATTTGTTTCAAGCTATGACTCGGGAAGCATTGAGGGACAGCTATCTTAGACTGAGCTACATCTAGGAGAGCCTGCAACAGCTACATTGGCCTCCTATAGCTGGGGGGTTTTCCAAGGTGCAGAGCTACGCTTCAAAATTTGTGAGCCTCACCTCCAGGGCTCCTAGCATCTGACATTTATTACAAATACCATTATCACTAAACGAGACAGAAGAATAACTGAACATGCAACACTCACAGCAAGAGAAAGAAGGAGAGGAAGAGGGGGAAGCCACTGCTCTCAACTAAGCTACTAGCTTAGCTAGCTTCTAAACTAGCAAGTTAAATTTGGTAGTTAGCGAGAACTTCTGCAAAACAAGTGCTTTAACGTACTTAAGTAGTGCAGGCATATGTCGTGACTCAAAAAGTTAGTTGATATTCAGATAAACCCAGAAATCAGTGAGCTTAATCCATAAACTATCTGGTAGTAAGTGCAACATGGTACAGGCACAGTAAAGGGGAAGTGAATATGCTTAGCCCTGGAACAGGAAGATGTGCAAGTCGCAGGGAAAGGATTTCTCAGCTCAGCTCAGTCATCAAGCTCCTCTCCTGTGGAACCAGCTCTCGGTCTGATCTCCGGAGGCAGACACCCTGTTATGATTTGGCGATATACAAATAAAACTGATCTAGTTTCCTTTCTTTAAGGTTGATTCACTGATAAAACCATGTGATTTTAAATTTGATGAAATACAGTAATAGATAATACCATCCCTGGTAGGCTAGTGGTTAAGGAGCATAGACTGCTGGGGGTCCTCCAATGCTCTGAGCTCCTCTCCTCTCTCTCCATGTATCTATATGCCTGCATTTTATGTCATTAACTGTGTCTCCTCTCTCCTGTAGTGTGTCCTCTCTCTCTCTCTCTCCCTGTACCTTTCTGCAGGTTGCCCTGGCTCTGGAGCTCTGTTTCTGATGAGCAGCCACCGCTCACATCAACCTGACTAGAGTGTGTTTCTTGTTGTGTTAGTTGCTTTTCTTTTCTTTTCTCTCTCCTCTATCCACTCACCCCAACCAGTCGAGGCAGAAGGCCACCTACCAAAAGCCAGGGTCTGTCGGGGGTTTCTTCCTTTAAAGGGTGGTTTTTCTACCCAATGTCACCAAGTGCTTGCTCAAGAAGGATTTGTTGGGTTATTCTATATGTAAAGTGCCTTGAGATGATTTTTGTTATGATTTGGCGATATACAAATAAAACTGATTTAGTTTCCTTTCTTTAAGGTTGATTCACTGATAAAACCATGTGATTTTAAATTTGATGAAATACAGTAATAGATAATACCATCCCTGGTAGGCTAGTGGTTAAGGTGCAGCACTCCCGCCGCTGCAACCCGGGGTCGAATCAGGGTTGTGTCAGGAAGGGCAATGGAGTAGACTGAAAATAAGCAACACACTTCGGGTGTCATTGTGTCCGGCGTAAAACATGTGCCAAATGTCAACATGCGAGTCATCAGTGTGACGATTCGCTGTGGCGACCACTAAAACTGGAAAAGCCGAAAGTGACTTAATTTCTATACAGTTTAGCATCACTGATAATAGCTACAATAAAATCAGTGTAATTTAACATTACCATTCTGTGTTTGACACAGACGTAGAGCATAACTGCAAAAACAAGTGTCTGTCTTATGTATACATTTACTCTATATCCATAGTTGCCTGATACCCTTTTGAGCTGCTTGTCCACACCCGGCGACAGCATGATGCAGGCGACAATGGTCCCCAGCAGCAGGATGGAGGTGTAAATGATCCTGGTCACAGTGGAGTTCCTGCTGCTTGGACAACAGCTGCACATAAGACATGTTCCACCACTGCATAGGCACGACACCTAAGGACAAACGAAATCACACATTTCAGCAACTAAACAGAAGAACGCCTAGTGAAATGTGAAGGAAGAACCCAAACATTCCATTTAAAAGTGCAAAGATAGAAGGTGTACGTAGATTGTTTATATTGTAAATATAATAATAAACGTGAATCCACTGTGTACTCGTATGCAACTTTATTAGCAGCTTCCTTGTAACATTGTGCCAACAACATAACATGAGTATAACATCAAAGTCTCTAGTAACATCCTCTCTGCCCCATAAATAAATTATAATAAAAAATTCACGTGGAAAAATAAAATAAATGACAAGAACCAGCAATTCCACATTTCTTTCTCTATTATCTAAATATACCTACGCAACATTTTTATTTTTTTTAATATTAAACACTCCATGAATGTTATTTTTCAACAGCTCAAATAAAGTTGACAGTTTGAACCGTCAGTTAAGGCTCCTGCATGTTTGTGTGCCCGCTGAGACTCACAAGCTCTCCTCCTCCCCTCTCCCTCAACCCCATCTGTTGGCGACCACAGCCCTAACACTCGCTGACTCGGGTCGCAAAGGTAACATTTAAACATGCCTTCAAAATAAGATACAGATACACCACAAAAACGAATATAAAGTGCATGAAATTTTTAACTCACCATAACGCTAAATCAATGGGAGCCCTGAGCTTGTTTCTCTGCAACGAGACGGTCCCATCTGGGGGTAATAGGAGACAATGACACCTTTGTGGTTGGGAAGTAGCGCTCGAACTCTTTTATAAGCAAAGACAGGTGATCGTGCACCAGCTGGGAGAATGAAGGCTCAGGCTCAGTCTCATCCAAAATCCCCGCTAATGTTTGAAACATGTCCAAAATGCCTCTGTTGACGCGCCGTCCCCACAAATCCAGTTTGGCTTTAAATGCAGCTACTTTATCTGCCAACTTGAAGACAGTTGTCATTTTCCCCTGAAGTGACAGATTGAGTTCATTGAGCAGGCTGAATATGTCGCACAAGTAATCCAGTTTTGGCGCTCAAGTGACCGAGATGTAACCGAGAGAATGCGGTCATTTTTCAAAATAAAAGATCGTTCAGACTCAGATAATAAATAAAACGGAAATACTTAATGCTTTCTTGTGCGGCCCGGGGGTTGGGGACCACTGGCTCAGAGCATCTGACAATGTGGCAGTTGATGAGCAAAGAGAAAAAGCTGTTTTTAGAAAAAATGCCTGCCCCCTCGAATTGAGGGGAATGCATTATATCAATGAGTGTCCTCACAAAGACAGAAGTATAAGTATGTCCGTGTTTATGGCACAGCAAGTTTATTTGTATAGCACCTTTCAACAATACCAGGACACTTTGCGTGAGACATGCATAGGCATTAAGACAAGATATTGAAAAACAGCAGACAGTAGACAGAGTGGGATCTAAAAAAAAACCCTCAACTGAGTTCTACGTCTTTGCAATGGTGCTAGTAAATACAATGTCACGCCAATCTGTAGTGACTAAAATTGACACAGGTGGAAAATGTTTCCTTTGAATTGCAACAGCTACTGAGTCTGACCCTGGAGCAGTTCTTAAACTATAAAAAAAAAACAGAACAGAAATTTATAACTGAGGGCTGTATCTGAGTCTAAGGGCGAGGCCCTTTAAAGAGGACTGTTAATGACCTACATTCAGTACGTTTCATTTCACTGAAAACAGGCACAGCTCGCCGACCGACTGGTGCAGCCTAGGTATTTATTTATAATAAATCACAAACTATACAGCTTTAGATTTGTCTCTCTTGCACACTCATGACTGAGAGGAGTCAAGAAATAAGGAGGACAAGAGGATTGTCAACAAGTCTATACCCCTGAGTGTTGCGGTAGTACTGACTGTTGAAGACAGGAGAAACATAATGCTGATATGATTAGTGGACTAATTTATTTTTCAAACATTACACTGTGCATATAATTGTCTTGACAGTATTTTTTGAATATGGCCCTTGTTGTTGGCCTGGTAAAAACAAGGCAACTAAGCAGAGTTAATCAAATTAATCACATGTAAGCAGATTACCAAGTGTATTGTGATTAACCCATGCTTTGCTGCAGGCTGCGAGTTTGGCCAACTGCACATCATGTTATAAATGTACTTAGTTATGACATTTTGAACACTTGCGGGTTAGCTACAGGTTAAACGGTGTAAGTGCAATATAAACATTTCGAACATGTATGACATCTCTGTAAGATGTCGGTAGAAAGTTTAATATGTTACCTACATGCTCTTTATGTAAACCATTACCAAGGGATCGGGTGATTGTTTAGTCAAAGTTAATGGTGATTCGGTCAAGGAAAGAAAGAAAACCACTGATTAAGTTAAAATATTAATTGTAAAGGGCTACTAATTAGCGTTAAGTGGCGAAGTAACGAGTATTCCATTAATTAAATTAACTCATTCAGCAAGTTCAATTGAACTTAAGTTATATCTCGGTCCGAACTCCAGAAAAGAGAAAGCACTGAAACGCCAGCTATTTCAATGAAATCCTGCTTTCCAAAGTTCTCCGTACAAATACAAGTTGTGAATAGCACCCGATTTAAACGACTCACTAAGTGGAATTTAACAAAAATATGCGCTGCTTTGTGTAGGCCTGCGTTTCGCTGTGTTCTGTTTTAACCAAAACGGGAGAAAGAGGGCTAGGAATTAAAATAACAGATAGGTGGAGTTTGGCGTTGTGGAACGTAGTGTTATTATGCTGGGAAGCGATATTACCTGGTGCTTATTACTCTTGGCGGCGTCACACGTTCTACCAGTTGTTTTAAACTGGTAAAGATGATAAATAACGCATTTGATATTCATAACATTGTAACCTACCCAGCTCGCGAAGGAAGATGTCCCCGAAACAGCTCCCATGACTGTCCGGTTTCAGTACAGGTACGGACAGTCCGTAAATCGGCGGTCTTCCACCCGCTACTTCTCCTCTGATCCTCTAGGGTGGATTTCAAACACAAACCTGGTAAATGAAAAGTTTCCACCAAAAAATGTAAAACAGCTGGACAAGACAGAGCATGGATAGTCAAAAACAAGCAGTGCACAACAGTGTGGTTGGCTTGCCAGGGTAAGTTATGTTTTTTTCGCTCAGTGAGTCGGTGAGGAGTCAAGCTGTATTGCGTCATTACGACGAATTGGCCCGTTGTGAACTGTACCCACATCCGACCAGGGCGCCAGGTGGACTGGCCCATTTTAGCTTATTATCAGTTTATAAATGTTGTAATTGCTTTAAATATGAAACATCAAAAGATTTAAAGTCAGTAGTTTACATTCACTCATTAGCTATATCATATTGCCAGACAGACCTGCTCAGGGGCTTATCGAGCTTTTTAAAAGTGTGGGGGATGAGGTTTGTCTGGGGTGGGGGTATCTGAGCAAAACTGAAGTTAAACGCAGCTTTACACACCTCTCTTATTTAGGACATACAGAGTTTACCTACCTCTAAATAGAGTTTATGCACCAAATTCAATCAGGATATTCAGTATTCTGTTTGCTATCATTATCAGTGCAACACAGTTATAGCTTAGTGCTTCTGAATTATTACACTGCATTATCTACATTTCTAATATGCCCAACCCTGATCAACACTGTAAAAGCCATTTATGCCACTCACTCATACTGTTACAATTTACCCACCTCTTTTTTTCAGCACACCCCTTATTCTTAAGTTGAAGAAATAAATTCTCTGTATTAAGTTATTCTTAACAAAAAGAAGGTCAGCTACAAACTGAAACTCTAGTGTAGTATGATTTTAAATATTTTTATTTAAACAAACTGATGAAGTTTAATGCTTAAAGCATTGTTTACACTTGGTTACAATTGCACTAAAAATGTTGGATATTGCCTACATGGCATGAAAACCAACTGGCCTCAACATTTAACATTGGATATATTGTTAGAAATTAACCCAGTTCTTTTGTTGGAAGCACGAGAAGTGAAGACAGGAGAGGACTGTTTAAAATCAACAGAAAGTTTACTGAAAGTCTGAGCACAGGTAGGCCTTACAGCGCTGGATTCAGAGGGACAGAGCTCCCGCAGGAGTTCCATCCTCTGAACCCTGAATTAAGTTCTTACAATACATTTTATCTTCTTGGGCTGCTCCACCCTGGACAGGGGTGCTACCTTCAGGAGGTGCACTCATCAATGGGTGGCCTGAGTTGCACGCCCCCTGTGTGTGTGATGCTAATAAGTATGTTAAACTGGCCAGGTGGTCATCTCAGGTTGTAGCCCCCTGGCCTCTGCAGGACATCTCAAGACAAAGCAAAGCTTGGGATATGCTAAGTGGGTCAAGGTGTGAGTGTAAAACAGGTCTTTGCTAAAATGTAAATAGACTGTCTGGTCACAAGGAGATGCAGACATCCTGTCTCTACACAGAAGTTACAGCATTCAAAGTAAGCAGATTCTACTTGATTCTCATGAATACAATTGTAAGATATATATAAGCAAGGAAAATAAATGTATTAAAAAATGACCAAAGCTCAGTAGGTCTGGACAATCATCAATACAGCTGTAATATATTTAAACAAGGAAAATAAAGTTGTGAAAAGTAACTAAAGGGAACTAAAAGGTATGAGAAGTGACTAAAGCTGATAAAGTAACTAGAGTCTATAAGGCTCAAATCTTACAATATGAAGATTTGAACCTTCACTCAGTTCAATTAAAAGAACCAAAAGTGCTCTTTCTGTATTCCTTACAAGACTGATTAGTGAAGTATAACGGTTCTTGGTACCATGTTAACTCTGAGAGATGAGGAAGTCCAAGTGGCTTCAAAACAATGCTGATTTATTCCATGAACACAGGCAAAAATTAACATTATATGCTCAGGTATCTTCCACCTCCAACATGCACGCAGGCAGCTGAAGGATGAAAAGACCCGGAACACAACAGGCCTGTACATTATATTGCTTTGGGCTAACCCCATTCTACACAGGAATGTCAAACTGTGACGTCTCCTGGTGCCAGCTTTGCAGCTGTTGTACCCGGTACTTTTTACCATACTGACTCTGAGAGACGAGACAGTCCAAGTAACTACAAAACAGTGCTGATTTATTCTATGAACACAGGCAAAAATTAACATTACATGCTCAGGTATCTTGCACCTCCATACTGCTCGCAGGCAGATGAAAGATGAAAGACCCTGAACCAAACCAGGCCTATACATTTATCTCTTCGTTTGGGCTAGCCCCATTCTACACAGAAACGTCAACCGCGATGTCTCTGGTGCCAGCTTTGCAGCTGGCCATAGCAGTAGTCAAAACATGAAGCAAATCAATGTGCGTGTGTGTGTCTGTTGATTAAGTGGTGTGTAGCTAAAAACATTATCACATGACCTCTAGTAACATGTCGTGACTTAAACATAAGAACATATTATGGCTAAGGCTACAGTTATACACGTCATAATAATAATAATATTAAACACCCTGTCTGCTGACAGTCATCAACTTTTCTCTGTAGTTATCCTTGACCAGATGTACCCTGTAGAAACTCATAAGCATGCCTAAGCATTTAACAGTCTAACTAGACATCCTATCTCCACTAAACATTTCTAATACATAAAGTATCTATCCAATATCTATCTGACTAAAAATACCT